GGGAGGAGCGGTCACCCGCCAGGCTGAGGGGGAAAATGAGGGCGCTCAGCAGCTGCTCTGCTTTTCCTTCAGAGGGCAGGGGGCCTCTTCCGTCTTGTTTCCCCTAAACCAAGCATTGAAGCCGCTATGCCTAAGAAGAGCCCTGCGACTTTAAAAAAAAAAAAAAAAAAGCCACACGCTAAACTGTTATACACAGTTGTCTCCTGCGAACATGGGTGTAAAAACAGCCCACGGCAGGTATTAATGATGTTGCTGGAAGGTCTTTGGATGCCCGAGAAGGAGGTGTGACACAGGATAATAATGGATGAGGGTGTGGATTGCCGTTCTGAAACCTGTTAGCAGGTAAACGTAAACGCCAGAATGGAGAGCAGCGGTCAAGACGTATGCCTGCTGTGGAGTTAAAGCAAAATACTCAGTGAAGAGTGCACAACAGCGCGTGTGTTCTAACTGCTGACTTTAGTGCTTTAAAAATTTAAATGGAAGCTGTCAATTATAAAACCATTTATTTTATTTTTCTGTGGTACTGCTTTTGAAAGATGAATGGGGTAGTTATTTTTTGTTGTGGTTTGATTTTTTTTTTTTTTTTTTTCAGTTGGAAGATAAGGAAGATTTTAATGAAAAATTCATTCATTTGCTTAAGTACGCTATGATAATCTACAGACGGGAACCAGCAGTGGAACAAGTGATCAATTTTGTCGCTAAATTTGTTACTTCATTTTCTCAAATGGAGAAAGATGATGGTAATGAGGAGGGAGAAGAAGATAATTTACTTCTGAATTACGTGTTTAACTTTCTGCTTGAGGTACAGTAATACTTACTATTAAATCTTTAACATAACAAATGGAAGTCTTACGCAGTGGGAAAAAACTTGCTGGCACTCGAGATAGTACCCACAAACTAGAACTTAAAAAAGTGAAAGCAAGGCAAAGCTAGTGCTTTACGAGTAACACAACCCCTCCCTCCCAAACCCCAAAAAACCACCACACCCCCCCCAATAACCCAAAAACTGGATTTCAAAAATTAGGTCCGTGAGAAAATATGAACTGTTTTCTTATTTGGCTGTCAGATGTGTCATTATAGGCTTTACTATAGGTGCATTTGTAAGTGAAATTGTGGAAGTGTTGTGGAAATAAATTTATACTGTTTCTTTGTTAAGTAAAAATATTGAAAGATCTTTCATATAAGTATGGTTGGGATATGTATTATTCCTTTCTGCTTATTGCAAGGGTTATATAGAAAGAAGATCAACAGTTCCAATAGCATGAAAACACAAGTAGAATTACATTTTCTTAAACTAGTGTTTTCACTTGGAAAAATTATTGATCAGGCCAAGATCGCTAAGTCATCATTGCTAATATCTTTTTTTGTTTGTTTGTTTTCTTCTTCTAATGTTTTATGGAGACAGAACGGTAAGTTAGCTAATGTACTGTAGTCTACATCGAGTGGTAAGCATGTTTCTTCCTTTGTGAAGGCATTGCTAATTATGTAAAGTGCCACGGATATAGGTGATGGGCCATAATTGTTTTCCAGTTCTGTGACTTTTTAATCTTCTTAAAAATAAACTTAAATAGGAAAAGCTTTTGAAATACAGAAATGCATATTTTGTGTATAGATTATTAACTACTTACATGTGCATATTAATAGCCTTATGTTGGAAATGAGAAAAGTGTGATTAAAAGAATATTTTCTTTTTTCCCTTCCCTAAGTCTCACAATGCGAACAGCCATGCAGTTAGGTTTCGAACATGTCAGCTTGTTAATAAGATTTTGGGAAATATGCCAGAGAATGCCCAGATTGATGATGACTTATTTGATAAAATTAATGAAGCTATGCTGATTAGACTTAAAGATAAATTTTCAAATGTGAGAATTCAAGCTGTCTTGGCCCTGTCGAGACTTCAAGATCCTAAGGATGAAAACTGTCCTGTTGTTAATAGTAAGTAGTATTGCATTTTTAATTTTGTTTAAGAACATCTGTTGATTTACATTACTTTAAAACATTAAGCATTGAGTAAACAAATCTTAGAGGGTATTCTTGTAAATATTCTTTGCCAGAGTAGATGCAAGAGTTGTGTATGTTCAATGGGAAAAGACAGAACTGCTTGAAAGAGGGATCCACTGGTGATTAAATGACAGCCAAATCATATTGGGCTCAGGCTATTCTATGAACTGAACGTAGCTGTAGGATGGTGAGAGTAGTGGTGTGTTGTGAATTGGAATGGAGATATGATACATGCTTTCTCAGTTCTTGCCCTCTAAGGACTCTTCTGTGCAATTGAATTGAATTTGTACAAAAACACTTAGAGGAGTAGAGATGATAATAGAAAAACTACTTTTGTCTCAAATTATGGCATGAGAGGCAAACTGGTTACTGACGTTGTTGATCTATGGTTTTTTTGGGCTTTTTTTTTTTTTAATCTCATCTTATTCATGGATCACTTCCTTTAAGAGATCAGCACCTCTGGAACCGAGGTTTCTTGATGCTGTTTTTGTGCCGTTTGTGTGTTTCTTTGTGTATGGTATGATTCTTGACTAAGTGTCTACTTCCATTGCCTCAAGGTAGATGGACTGTAGGTTTGTACCAGTACAGCTGTTGTTATGTAAATTGTGCCCTGATTAAACTTTACATACTGTGTTTTGTGAAGAGAGTAAGTTAGTTAGTTGGGGGTTTTTTTGTTGTTAAGGTACCTTCTTTGAAATTGAATTTTATAAGTGTTTGTTTATAAGTTGCTTATTTAGGAGCTCATAAATTTCATAGTCAATCATTGTCTCACAGAGCAAGAAGATGAATTCAAGTATTCTATGATTAAATTATTTTTGTTGTTGCTTTTAATTTTGAAGAATGGTCAAGAATATAACAAAAAGTATTTTGTGGGAGATTTGCTGTTTGAGTTTTGGTAGGCTTAATGGAGATTGCAGTTTTCTATTTACAGGAAAATTTGAGAGTCTACCTCAAAGGTAATGAGGATGTATAGTCAATGAATAGAGGTCTTAAGGAGCCAACATTTGGAAGCATTTTATTTTTTATTTTTATTTTTTTTGTCCAGTAAATGACCAAGTGGTTACTTATGGGTGGGATCTAGAGTAGCAATTTTCAGAGTTATTAACTGAAGATCCTACTTATGATTGCAAATATTATTTTCATAGTTGAATTTCTTTTGAGATCATAGCTCAGCATGTAATTGACACAAAATCTTGGGGTTGTGACCCTAAACTGTTCCCTAAATTTGTATGGGCTATGCAGGAGTGGAGGAAGGGTTTTAATAACAGCTGCTGGTTTTTTGTTTTGGGTTTTTTTTTTTGAGTATTTTCTGTTTTTCTGTAATGTTTCAAACTCCTATAAAAACATTATTATGACTATTTTACTTTCAGTTTACAACACATTGCTTGAGAATGATTCAAATTCAGAAGTGAGGCGTGCAGTGCTGTCGTGTATTGCTCCATCAGCAAGGACTTTGCCAAAAATTGTAGGCCGCACTATGGATGTAAAGGAAGCTGTCAGGAAGCAGGCATATGAGGTAAATTGGATCACTTAATATTAATTTCAAAGACTGACTTAGGAAAAAGGCTTTAAAACTTTTATTATATTTCACTGGTTAAAAACTAAGAAAGGTTAAATAATTTATTTTCGCTTGCCAGAATTTTGAGGGGGAGTGATTTCATACAAGTTTTCAAGTTAAAACCCCTGAACTTGACTGCAGAACTTGCTTTATAGAAATTACTTTTTTGATAGAACTTGGCTCTTTACGATCAGACAGTAAAAGTATAGATTATGTATACAATCTTTTGTTTTCTATCTATGCATTTTATGATGTTTGTGAAGCAATTTTTCTTCTCTGTTATTATATAACAGATAATTCAGTAAAGTTAGGATCACAGCAATACTAGTAAAAAACCTATATATTTTTGGTATTCCGGTTTTGCGAATTATCAACCATTACTTATGTTTACGTGTAGGGGTAGGGGCAAGAAGGTATGCTACCATGTGCAGGCATTTCTTGTGTAGACATCTTAGGCAAGATCTTCAAACAAAATGTTCAGTTTTTTCACACAGAACCATCTTCTGTTCTTTCTTAACTTACATTAAATTCTATTTTTTAACTGAATCTCTGTGTTAGTAGGCTTTAAGAAAAGTACATACTTTAGTCATTTCATTGCAGGTATTTGTAGCTCTTGGAGCTTTAAAGAGAGAATAGTTTTTCTATCCAGGTATTCCATTCAAGCGGAGCTGCCAAGCTTCTAAGCTATTTGTTAACTTTATTCTTACTTTATTTTATTTTACATTTTCTTCCATGCACAAGAAGCTGCTTGTTAATGTATTGGTACAATGCTGATGATATAGGTATTACAGGCTTTTATTGACTTACGGTTTCTGTGGGTGGATAAAACTGAGAGTTTAAACCCACAGGTAGTTAATGAATACAGTTGTTATCATTTGTAGAAATGTATTTTAATGTCTTAATTTTTTTAAAGGTTTTGGCAGAAAAAGTTCACATGAGAGCTCTGTCAATAGCACAGAGAGTAAAATTGTTGCAACAAGGACTTAATGACAGATCTGGTAAGAGATCATCTTTCTCAACATCTTAATACAAATGTTTGAGAGGATACTTTCTAACGTTTTGGAGACGATTTATGTGGAAGCTGTGATGGCAATAATAAGGAGCTCAAAGGGAGTCATGAGGTACCAGGAAATGTTTAAGCACAAGAAATTCTGCTTGCTGCTTTGGTTTTCCAGTCCCCTTATAGTGGACAAACCAGAAAAGGATTGCACTTTCAAAAAACTTGAAAGCCACTGAGCTCTAAAATAGGACCAAATGCTATTAAAATTAAAAAACAACAATGTAATTAAACACAGAAGTAGAAAAATGTAATTATTTAATACAGTGTATTTTGAAACATGTTTCATTACAGATATTTTTGTAACTAATAAATATATTAAAGAATTGAAATGTGAACATGAATATCGGTTTGATAATTGTTTGAAAATGTTTCCTATGTGCTTTCGGAGAGAAATCTTCTCAGCTGGTTAGTTTTTTTTGTTTAACTAGGTTGAATTTTTTTTTCAATGAATTTTTGATTGACCCTCATTCATTTTGTCATGAAGCAGCTTTATTCTTTTTGATGTCTTCTGTACTGTATCATTTTTATAAAAAGAGCCATTCAGAATGTATCCATAATTGTGTGTGGTGTTGTTGCCAAAAGATCAAAAGATCACATGTGTCTGAGTTAGACAATTTTGGCTGGCCTACATAGAACACGTCTTTTTTTCCTGCAACAATAGCAATTATATACATGAATTTCACAATAAAAGCTGCCACTTTTTCTAAGTGCTACTGTGTTATCCACATACGTTGTGTGGAAAAATCTGTACTAAGCCCTGTTGAATTTTACTCTGAGAATTTTCCTTGCTTAGTAATGTGCTGCTTGTGAACTGTGAAAAATATGACCTATGTGGATATTCACTTAGAGAACAAGACAGAAGTACTGTGTTTGTTGGTAACTGGAGCTCTTAAAGGTGTGTCGTGTATGCATGTGGTTTTTTGATCTAGCTCTCTTTTTGGCTAGTTGGGGATCATGTTAGTATGTTCTCGACAGAAAAGGAAGAGAGGATCAGCTGAGTGCTTTCTTATGCTGTATAGAACTACACTTAAAAAGAAGTCCTCCTGCTGTATAATAGGTTTTAATTAGCATTTTTCCCCACCTACCTATTGTTCTATAGTAGTCTAATGAAGTTTGTCAGGCTTTGGTTTTGAAGTCCAGCACTGAAAAACCGATGTTCTGAATTACTATTTCTTATCAGTATACTAGTTTGCTGTTTGACCTGACAGCTGCTTCTTGTCTGCTGGCTGCCACCGCCCCCCCTCTCCCCCCCCAATAATACTTGCTCTTGACAGATAATTCTTTTGTCTTAGGGTGAATGTGTTTCTGTTTTAGTAATCTTTTAAAACTGGGGGGAAGCTACCTTCACTATTTTTTCCTGTGATCCTTCATTTATCAGGAACAAGGATTTGTTGTAATCCCTTACTGAGAAGGTACAGCCTTTCTACACGGCCTATATTTCAGTGACATTGAGGTGTTCAACTTAAAGTACTGCCTTCTTTTATGATCCAGAGCAGATACTTTCTCTGTTTTTCTTGACACCTAGAATCATAAGGGAAAATATTTGCCAGGGTATGTAGCCTCACTGATATCATTGACATTGTATGCTCTTCGCTGGGCAAAAGAGGTTTATGTTCCAAATTGCCTGCGTTTATATGTACATTCACTAGCATTCCCTCATTTTGATCTGTTTTGCAAATTCTATAACCTTGAATATGTATATCTTTATCGAATTTGCTTATCTGAGTAACTCCCAAGCTAACAAGAGGGGAACCTGCTCGTTCAAGGTTGCTAAGTGGTAAATTTGGAAGTTTTTTCATATTGGTTTCAGAATAAGGGTTTATAATTATACAAGACCTAGAAGACATAATCTGGATTCTGCTTAGTTCTACTGTTCAGGGTGCATTCAGCTGTCAGTTCTCCACACTCATTCTCTTTCATTCTACTACATTCTACTAGTTTATGCTTTTCACCTTCTTGGAGAAGTTTCTCATTCTTAAGACCTTAATTTAGTTCTTTCAAGGCCTTTTTACAGCTCTTTTTGAACTCTTGACTATATTTAAATGCAGTCTTTATTATCAGAAGTTACATATAAGAGGAAAGATAAATGCTGTCAGTGTGTGTGGACTCTATTGTTTCCATTATATTGGATATTGTTTTCTAAGAGGTCTTAAGAGCATACTTGTATTCCTCCCTAGTTACTATGTTTTTACTTCCACCAGATTATTAGCCTTTCTGCATCCCTGCATAAATCTGTGTGTATGTGTTAATGATGTACATATTCTAGATCTTCCCATAAATACTTTTTTCCTTGATTAAATAGCGCTCTACTGATCCAGAAACTATTTGTTCATTGTGGCAATGAGGAGGAGAGACTTAAAGTATCTTTATTTAAATTTCATAATCCAGTTGAATAATTGAATTAACACAAGAATTCTGTGTGGCAGTTCAGACTAAAAGTCTGTATGGTAGTATCCTGCCTCCAAAAGTGGCCAATTCTTGAATGCCTGAAACAGAGCAAGTACATAACAATGCTTCCTCAGAATATTTACTTGCTCTACAAGAATTCATGGTTTGTAGATATTCTGGGTTGAGGTGCTGTCTTTACATGTAACAGTTTTTGGGTAGAGGGTTTTTTTTTTATTCCCTCTGGGGACAAAAATATGTTGCCTCAAAAAAGTAGTAGTAATCCATAGGTAGTTCTTGTTTAACTGTTGGGCTTTTTTCTTTTTTTAAGGTAAGGTTAAGTTCAACTACATAATAACTTCTTTCCAAACAGCCTTCTATAGAAAAATGATTTGTGAAAGTATGTTGAAAACTTGGTATTTTTTGACCTTTAGCATTTTAAACCATTTAAATTCCTGTATTATTAGATGCTGTTAAGGAGGTAATGAAGAAGAAGCTGCTTCAAGCCTGGTTACGATTGACTGAAGGGGATGTTTTAGAATTGCTCCATCGACTGGATGTGGAAAACTGCCCAGAAGTGGCCATCCCAGTACTAAATGCTATGTTTTCTTTATCTCCACTTCACGACTTTGTTCAGAACTGTAAAAACCTTGACAACAGGTATGCAGATCAGTTTTCATTTCCAAAAGACGAATGTTTTGTATAAGAATACTAAATTTAAGGTTATATCTAAATGGGGAGCAGAATAACTATTACCTGTGATAAAAGACTGATATTGTGCTGTCAACCATGATGTCTCCCTGGTGTTTGTGTACTTAAGTGTTTTGGATATGCTTTTTTCTTCTTTAAAAGATCTATGTTCACCAGCTGAAAATGATTGTGCCAGATAAGCAAGAAGAAAAAATGAAAAATGTCTTTGACTTCTTGTTTCCTGAACACCCCAAAAATCACAGTCTTAGAATTTAAGAGGAGGCAGTAAATTAATCAACTAAACAAGCTTTTCTATGCGTAACAACTTAGTCTAATTTGTTTTATTTCCTGTACTGTCTGTACAGCTTACAATAAAAGCAATGCTCTAGTTTATACCCAGAACTGTAATTTCCTCTATTCTTTTAACCTGTGGTACTGAAAAGCTCCTTT